CTGAAATGCTATTACCAATGAGTCTTGCTGAGTTATTAGAGCCTTTCCCTTATCTTTCAGCTGGTGCATGTCAACCCATGCACCTATGTCCAACTGTTAAGCTTCAAGGCTCTTAACTTTGCTCCTGTTTGTGCTTCTGATTGTATTTTTTAATTAAAAAAAATTCCCCCAGCTAAAGTAAACCGGTCACTTTTTCTCACTATAAATCTTCATTTACGAACAGAAACCCCTAAAATATTATTTGTAGTTTTCTTTTGATCGCCTACATTCCTGTATGGGAAACAGCCACTACTCTCTGTGTATCTGCTACAAACTTCTCGTGTGGGTTCTTCCATCATGGCACGCTCAGGGCTGACTCCAGTCGCTTGGTGTGTCAGCATACCGAGGAGTTTTGAGCGGCTCCAGCGTCTGAAGATCTCATCCAGCGGTGTGGAGACACATCCAGGGGCAGAGCCATGGGCGGCAGAGGGGCATGCCATCAAACAGAAAGGAGATACCAGCACATGTCTGGACAGTAAAGCTTAATCAGAGTAATGGGGACACTGGTTCATCAGACTAGCGGTTGTGGTTCAGATGTTTGCTGTCATATGGCTTTTCTTTTCTTCAAAACAGGATTTTACTTTTACATCATTTTTCTGCAGTTTTAAAATTCACCAGAACAAAAGTTGTTGTTTTGTTATCAGTTCCAGAACCAGCCAGCAAAACCTGGAAAGAGGTGCTGTCTGCCAGTTACAGCAGTTCGACCAGTGGCAACTGGAGCTGGGATGCCAGTGACCAGTCGGTGCCCTCCACACCGTCCCCTCCACTTTCCAACGATGCCAACAAGAACTTCCTGCTCTCGTCCCACAGTGATGATGTCAGTGAGGATGTCACAGAGGGCACACACTTCATGTTTGAGGACCCCATACCCCGGAAGCGGAAGGTAACGATAAATAATGATAGTAATCTTCTTTAACATCAATATATCTACCATTTCCTGACTAGATAGACATCATAAGTCAAATTCAGAGCAAGAGATCAAAGCAAACTAATAGCTTTCTATTTTTCTTTTAAAACTTAGAGGGGAGTTACTTTAGCAAACATTCAGAAAATGTGAGGACTCTTCACTTTAATGGCTTCTAACATAAAGCCTGTCACTCTGTGTTTGTGTTAATGATGGATTAGCTCTGCTCTTTCACTTCTTTTCTTCACATTTCTGTTCAGCAGAGACGGTTCAGATTGCTGCAGTGTTTTCACTGTTAATAAGCCTTCCATCCGGCGGTGGGTTCTTCAGGAAAAGAGGTGGGATGGTCTAGCAAGAAGAAAAGAAAGGATTGAGATGGGGAGGGGTGAAGGAGGGGTTAGAAGGATACGCTGAAGTAAAGACAGTTGGAGTTTGAAAAGGAGAGTTGATGCTCAAGGCAAACTCAGGAGGAGAAGCTGATCTCTGTTCCCTCCAACTTCAAAGCAACAGATGACAGTTCATTTATGGTAGTCTTCCTGTTGTAACGCAGCATCCATCCATGTGTGTGTGTGTGTGTGTGTGTGTGTGTGTGTGTGTGTGTGTGTGTGTGTGTGTGTGTGTGTGTGTGTGTGTGTGTGTGTGTGTGTGTGTGTGTGTGTGTGTGTGTGTGTGTGCGCTGTAAAATAAGCGTATCTGTCTATAGATAAAGGCCAGGGCATCAGGAGGGATGGTGCTATGGGGGAAAAATATCAACAGTTTGTCTAAATGGGGGTAAAAAACTGATGGATTCAGATGATCACACAACACAGACGTACGTTAGTAACCCCAGCATGCAAGAAGACCAGGTATGGGTGAAAGACAACAAGTCACTTCTACGAGATAAATCAGAGCTCACCATCACATTAAAAAGTGTGGTGTGAGTGCACAGCTGAATGATAAACGTGTTGCAGAAGTGCAATGCTAGTGTGGACTGTTTATGTTAAATGAAAGACTACAGCCCTGCTTCATATGACTGTAGGATTAGTACCAGCATTCATTGAAAACATATTTTGTTACTTGTCATCCTGAAGCTCTCCTGCTCTTTGTTTATTTTTTCTTGCTTTTTGCTTTTTTCTTCATGGACTGTTGGAGGGCAATGACAGTACACACCCACTGGCTTTCATTAGCGGAGATGCAGGTCCTGGCCTGCTCAAGGGATACCAGCCTGACATGTGGGGAAAAAAAGACAATGAAATGAAATGAAACCCCCGTTTGCTTATGAATCAAGCGTGCTTATTCTGTTTATGTTAAATGAGATTTAAGGAGGACTGGGATGTGGTTCAAGGTCTCTTCAATTGGAGAAAGGCCCTGAATCATGAATCCTCAGCTGTTATCCTGCTAGATCTGTTTATCTCACAGCGATGGTGAAGGGGCGGGCCTAAAATAGCGCGTTCATTAACTCGGTCTTTTATGCTAGTTTTATTATTGTGTCCCTCCTACTCATTTTACTGTCTTTGTCCTCTCTCTTTAATGTATCTTAAATCGTCTCACATCAGCTTCTCTTTTTAAAGGCTCACTGATTAATGAGGAGCTCTTGTTCGCCGTGTCACTCAGTTGATCAGCGAGGAGTCATACAGAAGACTATGATTGATGCTTTGATTCTTTCAAACATCTAACAGCGTATTCTGTTAATCATCTACCGTTTTTCCGATGTTATAGTCCCCCGTGCCTCATCTTTTTCTTGTTTTGTTCCAGAACTCCATGAAGGTGATGTTCAAATGCTTGTGGAAGAACTGTGAAAAGGTCCTCAGCACGTCCTCAGGGATCCAGCGACATATCCGCACCGTCCACCTGGGGTGGGTTGTTCTCATCACACCAACCCTAATGCAGTCGGGTCTCAGTGTGACTAACTCCATGTCTATGACTGCAAAGCTCCTACTTTAGTTTTTTAGTTATTCAGCTTTTTCTTTTCTTTGTGTCTTTCCTCTCTGCCCTAGCTGTGTATCTTGCACCTCACCAAATTCCTACACACACCCACACACATGTGCACCACCACCAGGCAGTAATACGATCGTTATGAGTCACACTAATGATCTTCATAATGGCACTAGTAGAAAAAAGGCTTTTCTGTCTTGTGTTTAATTGTCTTCATTACACAATAATTTTTGCTGACCTTTTCCTTCTTGCACAGAAAAGACGACGATCAAACGCTGACACTAAACTACTAATACGTACAATTAAAACAACTGCAGCAAATTAGATATCAACATCCTGGATGCATCAAACACCTTTTACCTTCCGAGGAACATCGTCTTGCTGATGTTGCTGTGTCGCCGTCTCAGTGGTTTCAGTAGAGACGTCGCTGAGCGTCAGGCTTTGCACACCAGGAATTGGCTACAAATCCAAACAGGAATTGTCAGACTAATTTGAGATCAGAAGGTGTCATTAAATATTCCTGTTGAAAGAATAGCCATTGTTCTGTAAACCTGAACTTAAGTCAAGCATCATAGGAAAGTTTAAGTATTCAAATGTCAGTCCACCAAGTCAGAAAATGTGCAGCACGTGTGTGTTTGATAACGTTTAATGACATCTATTGTTTAGAAGACAATGCAGCTGAGGCTCTTTGTGATTTATGTTGCTGCTCCTTCTATCTGGTGATTGGAAAAAGAGACGTTGCCTGTCCCCGGATTAATTTGGTGATAACCTCCGGGCCCAGGTTAAAGGTTTTTCTTATCTCATGTTGGAGGAGAGGATCCTCATAGACTTCTACTGCCCCCTGCTGTCAGAGGATCCCACATTTTCCTCTTTTTTTTCCCTCCTCACAAACTAGAATTAGTGATGTTCACAATGAGGCACTGACTTCACATTGTGCTGTCTTGTTCAGATCATTACTTCTCAACACTGTGAGTTTTAAATGATCATGTTATACCAAAAACTTGTTTTTAGGTCAGGAATGTAATCGTTAAAGCTGTGGCCTCGTTCCTCCTGCAGGCGGAACACAGAATCCGACTACAGCGATGGAGAGGAGGATTTTTACTACTCAGAGATCGAAGTCAACGTGGACAGCCTAACGGAGGGCCTGTCGAGCCTCACGCCTACCTCCCCCACGACGGCCGGTCCCCCGCCCATTTTCCCTCCGCTGCTGAGCGAAGTCTCCTGCTCCGAGCATACCGCCGTGAACGGTTGCCAGAGCCACACTTCCTCACTGCTCAGTCAGTCGGCTCCATCCACACTCTGTCACATCCGCACTGACCACGCCTACCAGGTAAACCACTCACGGCGTGAAACCCAAATTAACACACAGGTTACATCCCGCTGCAGTGCCATTTTTTCTTTTGTATAAAACTCAGGCAGTTTTGGAGATCAGTGTCAAGAAAAAACAAACATTGTTTAAACAACTTTTTGCTCATTTTGAGCATCGTTCTCTCTTTTTATGCCAAATTCTAGTTATTAAATCAAACTTCACTCTGTCATTCATATATATTCATTCTGTAGAGAAATCACATTTAAAAAGCACATTCCAAGTTAAAATTTGCTTTCCGTACTAACTGTAAAATCTGTTTCTATTGTATTCCTGTCTGTCACTTCTGCACATTTCCTGTCCCCCTCCTTGTTCTCGCTGTGTCCTCTCCTGGCTGTGTGGGGGGGTTGTCCATGTTCCAGGCCACCGCTCCAGTGAGTATCCCAGTGGGGCCTGAGCTGGCTGGGATAAGCAATGGTAATGGGATCGGGCCTGGAACTGGAACTGGGAATGGCATCAGTGTGTCTTGGCAGTCCCCTCCTGTCATTTTTAAAGGCGTCCCGGTGAGTGAGGCTTTGTCTCACGCCTTTTTATTTCAATATTCACTCCTTCCCTGCTGTTTCCACTTGCAGCTTTTTGAGGGTTTTTTTGCAACACTTTTTCATCTTAGCTTTTTTTAAACGCCTAAGAAGATGCCAGGTTTCTTCCTTTAGTGCATTTTAAAATTACATGTGTCTGAAAACAGTACAGGACAAGAAAGGGTGAGTTTGGTTTGATTGTTCTGTGGAGCAATACATGTCTGAAAAATAAGTTTTATAAAGGGAAAAACAGAAGTATAAACTTCTAGTTAGAAGTTAGAAACAACTTTGCATTTGATAACAAACTAAAATCTTCGATAGCTAATAATCTTCAATTATTGGATTGTAATAACACATTACATGTCTTCAGGCACAAAAATGTGAAATGATTTACAAAAATGTCAATAATGGGGACAAATATTTACACACACACACACACACACACACACACACACACACACACACACACACACACACACACACACACACACACACACACACACACACACACACACACACACACACACACACACACACACACACGCACTTACTCAGGCAGAATTTTATTTATTTTCATTAGAGGTGAGAATTTAACACATTAATTATGATTAATTAATTTAAAAGCCCAAAGTGGGGGATGGAAAATTATAGCATCAACATTTCAAATATCTCCCAGACCATATAATCCTTTTTTACGTGCTCTAAACACAACTAAAACTACAATTACATTAATCATGACAGATTGCTTTTCATGAAGAATAGAAAGATAGAATAAAAATCTACTCTTTTACTGTTGTGTTTTGTAATTGGTAGAATGCTGGCTGGCATTAATCTTGTAATGTCATCAGAACTTCCCCTGAACTCCAGACTACACCTCCATATATATTTTAGCAGTGCTCTGCTGCCACCTAGTGTTCAGTTCAGTACACAACATTTACAATGCTCTATGTCAATGGTTATCTTTATAATGAGATCAAAGTAATCAAATTGTAGACCTTGTGGTTACAGAGATATGCTCTGTAGAGTTTGGGTATGTCATCTGTGCCTCACTAACTTATTTTTAATTTAAAATATTGGTTGGGTGCAAATTGTCTTGAACTAATGTTATTAATCAAGATTAATTATTTACAAAGCCTCTGATTAATTAGATTATTTAAATTTTGTTTTGCCTGTAATTTTTATACGATTCTCACTTTATTGATAATTCTAGATGGTAAAAAGTTGTGCATGTTATTTTTTTTTTTTTACTCTAGCACAGAGGCGTGTCTACAGTCCAAACTGCAGGAATGGAGTGTTGGATGTGACTTGTGTATCTGGGATCACGTGTCCCAGTTGAAAGAGCTTCTAGAAGCTTCACAGTCCACTGATCCTTCAGATGAAGTCATAACTACGAAAAGAAAAGAAACAGACGTCTCAGGAGAGAATGATCAGACATGAAACTGAGCCTGAAAATAAATTAAAATAAATATATATATTTTTAACATTAGGCCTTTGACTTTGCTTCAATTTATTTAGTTTACTGAGATAATTATTTATAATAAATTAGATTTCTACAATAGTTCTTTTCATGTTGTGTTGTGATCATTGTCCTTGCTTTACGTAATAACGAGCTGTGTGAAGTAATTAACTATTTCTTTTTGCTCAGGTGTATTCCAGTAGACCAGATGCTGTGAGGTCTTTTTTCAGTATGATAATGTGTCATGTTTAATGGTTTTTCAGGGCCCTGTGTCTCATGTTCGCACTGTCAGCATCGGGGAAAAACGGCAGCCAGCAGCTGGCACACACACCACGGCTAACAAGAACCATGCTGTAATAACATCGGTCCCTAAACCAGCACCAGGAGCCAGGTGTGTGTGTGTACTGTGTTTCTCATCCAGTTAGCGTTAGTAAACATGTCTTGATTAAGTGAAGAACGTCTTTGACGAGATTGTTTATATCCTGCTTCTCAGCAGCTAGAAACCCTTACCCTAGAACCATCTATGAAGAGCTGTAAGTTAAAGTTCTATTAGTCATCACCACACACTGGTGAAATTAATCTCCGCATCTGACCCATCCCTGCGGGGAGCGGTGAGCTGCAGCTATAGCCATGCTCAGGAACTATTTGGTGGTTTGGTGCAGGTTCTAGCCCAGCTCAGTCTGTCGCTGTCATGTCCTTGGGCCACCTTGCCTGCTGGTGGTGGTCAGAGGGACCGGTGGAGCTCGGCAGCCTCGCCTCTGTCAGTGCGCCCCAGGACAGCTGTGGCTACGTCATAGCTCATCCCCACCAGCGTGTGAATGGGTGAATGACTGATTGTGTTGTAAAGCACCTTGGGGGGTTCCAGGACTCTAGAAGGTGCTAAATCAAATACAGGCCATTTACCATTTAACCCCCCAATCCAACCCCTTAAAGCTGAGTGTCAAGCAGGGAGGAATTGGCTCCCATTGTTAAAGTCTTGGGTATGACTCGACCAGGATTGGAACCCTGATCTTCCGGTCCCAGGGCGGATATTCTACCACTCGTCCACTGAGTAAAGTTACTTAGAATTACAGGTAGAAGTAATATTACTGAACACATCACTCGTGTTCTTAGAGCTCTACACTGGTTACCAGTTAACCACAGAATAGATTTCAAAGTGCTCCTACTAGTTTATAAATCACTCAATGGCCTGGGACCAAAATACATGCCAGATCTCATTCCTGTATATAGACCCAATAGGGCTCTGAGATCCTTAGGTAACAATCAGCTAGTAGAACCTCTTAAAACACTTAAAACCCTCATGTGCTCATCAGCCTTTGAATGGATTGTTTCTTATGCTGCATCGTCTCCACTGTCAGCACTGATGCAATTGCTCAACCTTAATTCTGTCTTTTCCTTGTAGCTCTAAATTATAATTTTATCTGTGTTTATTTTTGATTTGTGTTCTGTTTATTGTTGTGCCATTTCATGCTTATTGTAAAGCACATAGAATTGCCCCTGTGTTTGAAATGTGCTATATAAATAAAACTGCCTTGCCTTGCCTAAATAATAATGGATCAGATTTATATAGCTCTCTTCTAGGCACCCAACGTGCTTTCCATTATTCACACATTCACACACTGCTGGTGATGGTAAGACACGATGTAGACACAGCTGCCCTGTGGTGGTCTGACAGGCAAGACTGCCATTTGCACCATCAGCCCCTCTGACCACCACCACCACCACCACAGTCAAGTCAGGTGAAGTCTCTTGTCCAGAACACAACAGCGGAGTTCACATCCACATGATGGCTGTGTTTATTTATTTATTTTGTTTATTTGTTCATGCGAGTCTCTGGATGTCTGTGTCCTAACACTGTCACATCTCCTGTTTCCAAGGAAACCCCGCGGGGATGCTAAGAAGTGCCGAAAGGTGTACGGCATGGAGAAAAGAGACATGTGGTGCACAGCCTGTCGTTGGAAAAAAGCCTGTCAGAGATTCACCGACTAATCCGACCCGCCTTCCCTTGGTCTGTGAGACGAGCTCCTCGGAGCGACAGCGAAGTGGAACTCCTCCTCCGAGGAAAACAAGGGCAAAGTTCTCTGCTTCTTCTGGGCCAGCAGGTGGAAGGGAGGAGGGGTGGTGGCTTTATTTCTTTTTTGTTGTTATTTCCAAACACAATGAGGGTATCAGAACTGGTGTATAGAGACGAAAAGGAAGAAAACTATTCAGGTCTGGAGACTTTTTTTCTAAGACTGAGACATTTTCATCTACATAAAAAAAAGATAACGTCTGATTCTTTTATTTTTCTTGCTTGCGATCAAGGCAGCGATTGAAGACTACAGATCAGCATTTTGATATAATCTCTTGTTCTTCATTGTAAGAGCATCATGTAAGCTACTTTTTGTGTGGTGAGTCGAGACGCTTTGTGGGGCTTCAACGGTTAAAATCAGATGTGCTCGGGAAACAAAACCTCACATTGTGTCTGTTTGAGGGACTTTACAACATTTACCAAATAGAAAAAAAAAACGTTTTGGTGTACTCTGACACCAGCGTGTCCTTCAGTCTAACTGGATTTAGACTGTAACACATTTTTATCAGAAACGCCTGCCAGAGTTGCTTCAGATCCACAAAACTGCACTAAACCAGTCAGAACAAGTGGTACAAAGAGTTTTTCTTGGATGTTCCAAAAATATTTTCAAGAGATGTACAGTTTATAAAATATATGAATGTCCCAATAACATCATCCTTATTCTTATTATTAAAGGCTTTCCCCCTACAGATAAGCATCATTGTACTCCAAGGAAGCAGTGAGAGTGGAGATAATAGTTTATACTCAGCAACAAGTTGCTGTACAGACTTGCTTTGTGCAATCAGAGGAATGACAACATTCCATATTGTCTTTTTTCCTTTGGAGGCTGTCGTCGGGTTATGAGCCGAAGCAGAAGAGTTCCGATTTCTTTTCCCCGATTGTTTACTACAATACGTGAATTGAAACGGACCTTTGACATTGTGGCTCAACAGCCTGACCGATAATAAACACGTATGAAATCAACCCGTATAGTTTTTTAAAAGGAGAAGCTGCTTCGCCGTCTTTGGAGGATTCACATTTACTTTTGTAAATACCAACCTTACAGGGCCCAAGGCTGACTCGTGTTTTTATCCTTCAGCAAATCAATCAGCTTCACATGAAGCGTAGCAAGGATTGAACTTGTTTTACCAAACAGAGTCTTACTTTCTAGAATGGGACTGTTTTTTTACAAAGGCCATAAAAAGCGGCCAAAGTTTACAAGATATTGTATAAAAACTATAGGTGGTAGATTTTAGATACCCTTCTATGGGTAATGTACCCCCCTTTTTTAGTAATATTGGCTGTGCTTGTTATTTGTAAAATACAGGGCAAAGACATAGTAAATTTATAATATTTAAACGCTGTTCCCTCTTTAAAATGATCATTCTCCATCTGTATGTGTCTTAAGTGAAAAGCACTTATAATTGGCGCAATGACACGGACGGACAAACAGACAAAAGTTAGTTGTTTAGAAATCCCCGGAGCAGTTTTTCAGTTTTAGTTTCCCTGTTTAGTATTTTTTAGATGTTATTCTCAGACTCAGTTTTTAACTAAAAACTTGTAAAGAAACACTTTTTGTCTTATCCAATCACCCGCTTCATGAAAACTTCAAGTAAAGTTATTTATTCCTCTTGTTAGCCTCAAAGGGCTTTAATATCGGCACAAAAAAGACCCCCCCCCCCCCCCCCCACTCTCAGAGCCTTTGATTCACACATGGGGGTTAAAAAAAGGAATAATCTGGATTTCCTTTTGTAATTTCCAGAGATGCAGTCATGACAATAGATGTATATTTTTTGAAGAACTTCATACTTGTGCTGTGTATCAGCAGCTTTTTTCTCACAGATTCTGCTGCATGTCTCCTCTCTTAAGTGCTCCTGACACCCACCTGACCCGATCTCAGTGGCAGCATACGCCGGAGCGTTTGTACTTCCCCGCATGACAGTACGTCTTGACTGACTCCAGACTTCTGTCACCACACATGCACCTGTGTCGTTTTCCCAGCATCACCCAGTCACAGGTCTACGTGCGTTGGCTGATGCCTAGGTGACCAGTTGTCACTTCTTGATGCAGAAAGTCAGTGGATGGAAACAAAACATGTTAGGCGACAGAATCGTTGGGATGGAATGAGCTTTTATTCCAGAGGTGTTCCAGATAAGATAGGTCAGCTGGCCTCTTCCTGTCAGAGACTTCACCAAATTCACCAAGTGCCAATAAACGTTAAGCTTAATGGAGAAAGGTATACTGACTATATATAATTGCACTACGCTGCACTGCGCAAAAAGACATGTTTTTGTACATGGATATTTTATATTTACAAATTTCTACGTGAAAGGGTGTTCTATTTCTGGGGGGTGGGGGGTACGGTCACAGGCTGATGGGGTGTCAGGGACAGGGGTCCAGAACCTCTGGGGTTCCCCATCATTGTCGCGTGATCTTAACTGCTAATGTCTTGCTCTTTGTGTCAGACGTACTAATCGCAGTGGTGCTGACTGTTTTGGGCGCGCGGTACTGGAAGTGGTACTCAGCAGTAGTCCGTCACTTTGCTTTCCCCTTGGATGAGTGCCAAGGACTGAAAGCCGTGCCAGCCTTGTCGCAGCAGTGGGAAAACACCGGTTTCAGTACGTAGCCACAAGTTATCACGATAACAGAAGATGCTTTAAAGTGTTTTTTTTTGTTTTTGTCTTTCCAGAGTATTCACACTTTTCAAACACACACTTCTGTAAAGGCCCAACTTTGTGCTTCCTTCACTTAAAAAGGCTCCTGCTTCTTGACATGTTCTGCTGAGCTGAGGCAGTACATTTATACAAACGGTTATTAGTGCTGGTTAACACTTTTAATTCTACTACCTTTGGTTTGGTGGCTGGCTGAGTGTTAAGCCACCCACTAGGTCTCTCCATTCTCACCAGCAGGGGCTAAGGCAGTGCTTCCCAACCTGGGGTCCATGACCCCCCCCCCCCCCCCCCCCCAAAAAAGGTTGCAGGAGGTCCCCACAATTTAGTGTGTGCTGAGGTTGTGAGGTTATCAAGATTATATTTGTAAAAATTACATTCATAAATTCTAGATAGCACACCCAATAGTACAATCAAAACTCGTGTATGAGGCATAACTCTGTGTCTGGATACAGTTTGCAATTATTCACTTTTAATTGTGTGCGTGCGGGTCGGAGTTAAGGTTAGGGGGCCCTGGCTTGTCTTGGACACAGGAAAGGGGTTCCTTGTGAAAAAAGGTTGGGAACCACTGGTCTAAGGTATGGCCTGGCACAGAGTAGGACCCAGTTAAAGCTTCTTCTTGAGTTGGATCCTCAGGTTCTGTTCTCGTTAGATTTTTACCTGTAAGTTAAAGGATGGAGATGACTGCTAACTATCAGTGGGTGTGTAGTGGACACGGTGTGCCGCTATGATTTAGGCTTTGTGGATTCAGGACTTTCTTGTACATAATGCAGGATTAAGAGGTCTGTGAGGCTTTTACACGTATTGTTGTTTTGTTTGTAACTCTGTTATATAAAAAGGAAACTTTCTCTTTTTTTTTTTTACAATATTGTTGCTCAAATATATTTTCGTTCTTTTTTAAAGGCTATTGAGAAGCTATAGCGAACTGATTCAGTGTATGTTGTAGCGTAGAGGCAAAGGGGCGAAAAAAAGACAACTTGTTGAATGTAAAATTTATTGAAAAAATCTTTTTGTTTATATTTTTTGTAGTTGCTGGCTAATCTGTAATGGTCGGGCCCGTTGAGAAACTGTAGAGCATCTTTATTTGGCATCTGATTTCTTAGCACCCACAGACAGCTGTCGCCACACTGTTGATTCGTACAGAATAACACAACCATGCAGTATTGCTTTACTATCTTTGTGCAATGACAATATACAGCAGAACAAGAACGTTGTTGCTTTTGAGTGACATCTGGGCTACTTCGCTCCCATTGTTCGTGTTCAACCCTGCCAAATGCTCTGAGTGTGTGTAGTACTTTGCCTTGGATGCTGTTTGTGACTGTGACCGTTGGTCACCTTGGAACTTGTTAGCTAGTGGGAACCCATTTCCCTGCCCTGCACATTCCAACAGACAGCATGCAGTTTAGGGTCTTTTGCTCGTCTCCCTTCCTCCGATCAACGCGTTAGCCGTTTCCGTGTTCTTGTGTGATCCAACTTCACTGTGGTTCCACCCAAGCCTTTACCCAGTATATTAAGCTAAACTAAACCCTTGAAATGTGCGCAAAAACTTTCTTTTTTCTTCGAACATGCTGCTTTCTTGAATGTTAGTTTTCATCTGTGTGCGAAACAGCATCAGCAGTGAGCAAACACAAACCTCCTTCAGAACGAATGGTTTTGCATTGCAATGGCAGCTCTACACCTCTGCTCCTGTGCTTGTAATGTCTGCCCAGGTGTTTACCCTCGCTGTCACGTCCCAGCTTCGGTGACCATTTTCTGTACTCTTGTGTTTTCACTGAGGCTCAAACCAACCTCTTGTTTTTATTTTTCTCCCTAAGACTGATTGATTGAGTTTGAACATGTTTGCATGTCTAGCGTTGCTTGTTCTTTTCTCTTTTCTTTTTAAATTCTCATTTTCTGCGTGTTAGGAGATACAACACTGAAGGTTTTTATCTGTTAGATTTCCTCTCTGTCCAAAAAACTCTAGGGTGATGTAAATTGTTTCCCACTTGACAGAGCAGCCGGACTACTCCCTGTGCTTGGTGGGGTCTGGTGGGAAACATAACATCAGGACTGGAGTCTGCACTGGAAGCCAAGATTTCTCCCGTTTGTGGGCTCACATAGCTTCTGTTCTTTGTTAGTGGGCCCACACACACGGAGGAAGCACTTTCTGAGCAGTGGTGCACTCAAGGAGTATTTGTGCGAATGTCAAGCCTTTTGAAAAGATAGGTGACCATGTATGATGCTTATAATGTGATTTATGTGATGTAATGTGAGTAAAAAAAATAAACCTGAGTGAAAAAATATCAGATATTACATTTCTAATTGACTAGATTCCTTACTCCTTCACATTTTTTTATAAGTATGCTTTCTCTTGACTAGGCTTTTGCACCACCTAGTGGACAATAAGAGACACGACAGATCAGGAATAAATCAAGGCACGCATTAGTCACAACTTTACAGCAGCAATTTCAAAATTTATTGAGACTGATTGGATTTTGCAAATAATAGTCAAGCTAATTCTTCCACCAAACATGAACTCAGAAAGAGGCTTGGACAACTTGCAGGCTGGACCCAACATCAAAACAGAAGGCTCATGGTTGACTGTAAAAGTGTTTTCTGATCAAAAGAAAAACAAACTGCTCAAGAGCACTTAAAGCGGTCCAAAACAAAACGGGTGTAAAAATGGGACTTTTTTTTATATATTTCGCACATTTTGTTACAAACACAGGATTAAGATAGTAATCATTATAAAGTCAGTATCATAGTCAACATATTCCCAATGAAAATAAACAAACCTCAAGCTTCAAGTGCGACTTTTTACAAATCAAAGACTCTCTGAAACTTGAAAGAGTAAATAAATAATATATAATAGTAATATAAATTCATATATATGAAGGTGTACACACATCACTCTTAGTAGAACAAAAATCGAAAGTAAAAAGCGCCAATTTTTTTCTATTTTTAAATATAGTAATAATATACCCATATTTATGGCTTCATGACTTTCACATGTGAATCAAGCTATACAAGCTAAATGAGGATTGCAGTTTGTACAAGTCTAAAGAATACCCATAATCATCTGCAGTAGAGCGAACAGTTCCAGTTTTGCATTGTGTGGAAACGAGACCGTTGTGTGCAGATGCCGAAGATGTCGCTTTGGTATGACAAAATGAACACAGGCATGCAGTTAAGACCACAGAATCAGGGCACAGGTCATCGCCACACTGGAAAGGAGAATCGTTGTGATTTGTCTTGGCGAAGTTTCATCATTTTGTACCTCCACTCGGGAATCGTTTCGATAATCTCTATCCATAGACACAAATATTCACTCAGCTCTAGGAAACACACGCTCTCGAACAAGCACACGGGTGAAACGTCACTGAGGCACATATTGAGGGGTTGATGGCAGACGTTTTCCTGAAGTACAACCCAGAATGAGGAAGAGGACGTACTGTACGGGTAGTGAGAAGAGGGCAGGGTGGTGGTGGACTCACACATACACCTAGATGTGGCAGTAAAAGCACCACAGGTCGGAAATGTGTCACCAACAGCAGGATCCTTCCATAAGCTTTGAACATTCAACAAATTTTCTACCCCATTGTCTATATTCATTTTTTCCAGCCCCAGAAAAGTACAACCTTTTGATGAACGAGTCAAACAAAAACACAATAAATGAAAAAAGTGGCCACACATGAAAAAAATAAAACAACTTGTGCTGAAAGTTCTTTGTTGGGAAGTGCATCCCATAAGCATAGGAACAAAGAGGCCTGATGTGTGCGACTAGCACTGAGTTACCACTGCCGCACCTACTTTCCCTTTTAAAAAACACCAAGTGAACACGTGTCTGCAGGAGTACAACAGACTCAACATGAGAGGAGTGTCCAGTCTAAATGCTGAATCACTGACTTGATTGTGTCAATTTAGCCATAAGGCAGTTTGGGAAAACATAAATAAACTGCTTGGTTTTCAAGATGCAGTCTTCTAAATCTAGCCGGTCCCTTTACACAGCCCTTCATACTCACGATAATTCAAAATAATGTGCACTTCATCAAACGGTGACAAAATAGTGACAGGTTCCAAAAATAAGAACAACCCAACAACAAAA